TGCCTAGCTCCTAGACATGTGTGTGCAGAAATAAAGACTACTTTTTCTTCAACCAAGGCTCCAAGGACCTTTTTGCAGTTACCTAGCTCATAGATGTATGTAAGAAGGGTGTGTGACCCAGTCTGGACAACAGGCTTGAGGGTTCTATGAACTCCAGACCCAGTCCTAGCTCTACAGCTAATTTCGTAGAGACTGTGTGCAGCTTAGAAAGCTAGAGTCTCAAAGGGGCCCCTATAGACGACTTTTCCTTGTGTAATTCTCTCAAATTCCAGCTGCCACTGCTTCCCCAAATTCTGGTCTCCTTCAGTGAAATAATTGTGCTTTGTTTGGAGTTCCCCCCTCTGCCCTGAAGTTAAGAAAGCACCTCAAGGCAAAAGCAAGTGATTATAGGGCTTACCTTGTTTGTTTCCAGTGAATTAGTCCTTGCTGCCTGTTGTCTAATGTCTAAAAACATCTGTCTAATGTCTAAAAATAGATGTTTAATATATTTTGTCCAGTTTAACACTGCTTATGCTGGCAGGGATTGTCTAGTAACAGTTACTCTGTCCTTGTCAAATATTGTTTTTAACTCCATCCTATTGTTTTTACCTGCATAGTTAAGTACCAACTATCATGTTGTAAGTTCATTGGAAAAATCAATAAATTTTAAGCAAATAATAACACGTAACATGATCTTGTATATATTAATTTTATGAGAGTGATTTTTAAAAATTAATTTCAGATGAATACCATCACATTGATTATTAGTTTACTAAACAAAGAATAATTACCCAAGTCTTCTGGCACTTGTATCATACCTATCTTCTTTTACCAAACGTGCTTCTTTTGACTATTTATTGGATGTACTTGCTGTGGAGATTTTATTCTCCATTTCTTTTAAAATCTTCTGTAGGTGGAGTATTCTTATTTCATAGGGACAATTGTTATTATTTGATTTGGATTAATATCATGTTTTAGATATTCCCATATTTCTTCACTATATACTTATGTACCACAAAGCTTAGCTTCTGTTATAACACAGCTTGCTACATAGGCTTTCCGTCTGGTGATTCAAACATCAAATGAATGAATGATTGGCCTAGATGACTTTTAAATGCCCTTCAGCCTTGAGATTCTGTTATTCTCCGGCAAATTAAATTCAGCAAGAATATCTTGAGTGCTATATTAATAGTGTACATTAAATTAGAAAAAAACCTGTCTTTGCCTTTGAGAAGCATAGGATTTCATTGGAGAAATAATACCTACATATATATATGTGTGTGTGTATATATATATA